TAATGCCTGTATATTTTCTGGTTAAGAGTGCTTGATTGTTTCTATGATAGGCAGAAAGAAATTTGCCACTTGGTATCCTTTTTATTTTAACCTCATCCAAGGATCCACTTATATTGATTTTAGAGAGAGAAGGGAGAGAGAGCATGAAGCATCAGTTGCTGCTCTTACACGAGATTGAACCTAGAACCTAGTTATGTGACCTGACTGGGAATTAAACCTGGAACCTTTTGATATATGGGACAACACTCCAACCAACTGAGCCACCTAGCCAGGGCCTCCTTGGTATCCTTAGTGAAGAATTTCACTTCAACAAGGAGCAAATTTTACACCCAGAATTTAAAAAGAGCAATTCAGATAAAAAAGAAAAGTCTGGTAATACTGTGGTTCTTTTTTTTTTTTTTTTATTTATTGATTTCAGAGAGGGAGAGATAAACATCAATGATTAGAATCATTTATTGGCTGCCTCCTGCACACCCCTCACTGAGGACTGACCCTGCAACCCAGGCACATGCCCTTGACCCTTCAGTTTGCAGGCCGATGTTCTATCCACTGACCAGCCATGTCAATAGTGTGGTTAAGTGTGAATTATTGCAACTCTGTACCTGCCATCAACACCAAGACAACCCTCCGTTCTTGGGATTAAAAAAAAAAAAAAATGACTATATAAAAATAAGAGAAGACGTAGGCCAGAGTAGAATTAGTTTTGATAGGCTCTAAGCCCTGTTTACATGGATTATAACTTTTAAAAAATATATGAAAAAAAATGTTTTAAATGAGACGAAAGGTATAATTTGTTTTATTCCAAATGCAAAATTTTAAAAATTATATCCATATTACAAGTACTTAAAAATATCACTTTTTCCAGATTATGAAAACAATGCATACTCAAAAAAGCTTTTTTAAAAAATCTCCAACAATGTGGTAAGTATAGTTCTAAGTTCTAGACGTTCCCCTGTCTGAGGGGTGTACATTTCAAGACCCCCCCAGTTGAGTCTGAAACTGTAGATAGTACCTAACCTGATAATTTAAGTATGTTTTTCTACACATACGTATTTATGAAGTTTAATGTATAAAGTAGGCCTGATAAGAGATTAACAATAACTAATGATACAATAGCAGAATTATAACTATCTACTGTAACAAAAGTTATGTGAATGTCTCAGCAAACTGGAAATTTTTTAAAATATATTTTTATTGACTTCAGAGAGGGAGAGGGAGAGATAGAAACATCAACGATGAGAATCATTGATTGGCTGTTTCCTGTACACCCCCTACTGGGAATCGAGCCCACAACTAGAATTGAACCCAGGCTGCCCTTGACTAGAATTAAACCCAGGACCCTCTAGTCCACAGGCCAATGCTCTATCCATTGAGCCAAACCAGCTAGGGCTGGAATTTTTTTTTCCTCCATTGTTTCACACAAGCTCTGCATACAACTTTTTTCTTTCCTTATTAAGTAGAACTTTCACCTTTTCACTTAAAGGAATTCTCAGAATCACAGCTCTTGAGCTTTGGGGTCATCGTTAAGTAAAGTAAGTTATTTGAACACAAGCACTGAAATACCATGACAGTTGATCCAATAACTGAGATAGCTATTAAATATAATAGACAGGAAGTGTATACTGCCTGGACACCCTGGACAACGGGATGATTCATATCCCAGGTGGGACAGAGCAGGACAGCTCGAGGTTTTATCATACTAATAGAGTAAAACCAGAGATTAAACTGCTATTTAAAGTAATACAAATTAAGTCTTCAGAATGTTCAGCTTTATCCTGTAATCCCCAGAACATCACTGTATTTTCATTTATAAAAAGTGGTTGAGAAATATGAATTATTGTTATTCAATCAAAACTTGCTGAAATTCCACATCCAACTTAACTATTTCAAGACAAAAATATATAAAATCCCAATCAATCCCAAAAGAACAGCCCATATTTTTATGACTAATACACTTTTGAATGATAATATTAAAGATAAAGTTGCACGCTTTTGCTCAAAAAGTTGAGACCACAGTAAATGGCAATTATATTAGCTTGGAAAAATCTGAGGAGGAATCTTCTATAATAAAAGCCTAATGTGCAAATTGACTGAACAACCAGTAGAACCACCAGTCGCTACGACACACAGACCACCAAAGGGGCACACAAATGCAGGAGCTGCTCCCAGGCCAGCCAAGGCTGGTGCCAGAAGGGGCTTCCTGATCACCCTGCCCGTTGTCCCACAGATCAGCTCTGATCACCGGCCAGGCCTAGGGATCCTACTCATGCACAAATTTCATGGACCAGGCCTCTAGTGCTTTAACATCCCCTGATTTTGCTTAGTGCTAGAATCAGTTGAAATATGAACACACACTCATCTCCTGCAACTAAAAATTTATATACCTGCAGTGTTCTGAATTACCTTTTCAACTAGTGAAAGTTAGCATCTTGTGGTCAACATTCTATCAAATCTTGGTAGTGATGAATTTTTCAGATGTCCCTGTATTACAATTAATAAAGATTAGTGAAGGGTTTCCTCCGTCACCATTATGAAAAAGATACATGAAGAGAATGAAATAAAGCTCTGCTTACCACCCTGGCTGGTGCTGCACAGTAGTTAGAATGTTGGCCCACACCCCCAAGGGTCAGTTCAATTCCTGGTCAGGGGCACATACCTGGGTTGGAGGTTTGATCCCAGCCCTGGTTGGGGCACATGCAGGAAGGCAGCCAGTTGAGATGTATGTCTCTCCCTCCCACTCTAAAAATCAATGGTGTTTTGGCTCAGTGGATAGTGTATTGGCACTCAGACGGAAGGGTCCTGGGTTTGATTCTAGTCAAGGGCTTGTCTTTTTGCAGGCTTAATACCCATCACATGTGGGAGGCAACCAATCAACTTGCCTCTCATATCGATGTTTCCATTCCTCCCCTCCCTTCCACTCTAAAATAAAAATCAATGGGAAAATACCCTCAGGAGAGGAACGAAAAAGAAACAGGTTTTGCTTACCCATGTTTAGCATCCCAACGACATCTTAATTCTTAATATTCCTAACTTTATAAACATAGCTAGGAGACTATGGAACAGTAATGTTAATCAACAAAATTGCTAGTAAGATTTGTTAGGATGAATAACACTACACGGAATTTGGTTAAAAATCAGGAAGCATATTTCAAAAAGATATACAAGCTAGTTGTTTATCATAGGTACTTCAGAATTAACCCCTTCAATTAACTTGTCAAATCACTTTGCTTAGTTCTAAGTACTTCAGAATGAAACCTTAATACTAACTTTATTTACTGTTCATCCTAACAGACGTGTCTGGAAGCACTTAACCTTAGCATATTTATTTCAAATTTATGTGCTGGCACTTAAAGAACCTAAAATCAGAATTAAGCAAAGTCCAAAGCACCTTGGAAAAGTGCAAAACACAAGGACATATACGCATCCCCCCCCCATTCTTTGTAAAAGATTTTAGTCATTTCTAGATGTAGTGTATTTCTTAAGTCATATATATTAAGACTTGATTGGAGAGTTTGGATTTTGTTTAAAAAACCTTTATTCATTTTTGATCAGGGAAAGGACAATCTCAATGTCAACTTGTCACCTAATCATAAACTTGAACTTACAGGATTCACTGCCCTAAAGACACCACACCTATTGACTGACAACATAACTTAAAATGAAAATATCCCTTCTGTTCCCTAGGGGTGTATGTTTAAACAGAATCCCTTGCAATAGCCAACACTGGTACTTAGCCTAGGTGTAAGGTCAAAATAGGAAAACAGGAGCAAAACAAGGCCAAGAGTTCTGCAACTTGATAGCCCAGCAAATACAAACATCATACGAACAAAGTTGCAGGCACCAAATAAAAAACGGCAGGTTCATCAATGTAAGTTTATACTTTAAGGTGAGGTCAACTATTCCACATACGAACATATCCCAATCCCCAATGGCTAACATGGAATCATAAAAACAAAATTTAAAAAACCTTAAGTCCAATAACTATACTTAATATAAAATTCAAAGCTTGGATTTACCCAGGAAATCCTCCCAAAATCTAGAGCTAAAGCTTTTTAATAATGCACCAAGATTGTTCTAATGACATGACTTGGTCACACTTAAGATTTGCATTAAAGTAACACTCAAGCAGTTTCCCTATTTCTTCCTGTCTGAATATGGATATGTGTAGCTACTTGGCCCATGCACTAATTGCATTAAAAATGAGCTACTAACATGGCTTTTACTAAGAGTTCACACATTAACAGTTAACACCCAATATAGCTTCCTAAGAATGCCCCAAAACAGCTGTTTGCTGCTTACTGTGACATACCAACTAAAACTAATTTCAGTCACTACCTTTAAATACCTTAACTTTTGCTCTAGTTCTAATAACCTCAAACTTATCTGCCAAAATCTTTGTAATAATTTATTTTTGATAGCCTCAAACTATAGCTCCCACTAGTTCAACAGTGCTTTATTCCTGGGTACATCTGGACTTTTTATCGAGAACAATTAAAGTCATGGTATTATGATTACTCAAAGGTCTTTCTAACAAACCACTTAAGTTAAAATATTTAACAAATCACGACAAATGGCTTTCCAGAGACAGGAACAAAGCAAAATCTTTCCCATTCATAAAAGGAGCAACCAACATTCTTTGTGCCATTAAAGGGGTACTTTTCCTCAGAGTATAATCATTGGAAGATTGATGGTCTACTAGAAAGCTTCCACTAATTACAACACTATGACTATGACATGGATACTTCCATGACAAGGTCTCCAGATACACACAGAGGAAACATTTTGAAATGCAGTGAAAGCCTCAGTTAACAGGGAAATGAAGAGTGGGAGCATAGAATACAGCTAACAAAAATGGGAACAGGGTGACACTGTAGCTGGCTGTTCAAAAGGGCCAGTTTCTCCTTACAGACCAATATTCCTTACAAAATAAACTGTGCCTTAATTATTGCTTATTTAAAATCACCCTTTTTTACAGAGCTATTTAGTACCTGACGCAGAAAAACAATCACATAAGGAAGCATTTATTTGAGGTTTAACATGAAATCATACAAATAAAATTTGTATAAACACAAATCCACATTGAATCATAACACAGATAGCAAAAGGCAAAGTAAAAACAAAGAAAACTAATTGGCGGCTATATACAGTTGGACACAGTTGTGTCTTATACACTAGAAAGTCTTTTACAAAATAATCATCTTAGAGCAAGAGAAGATCAATCTTCAATGGCGTCCTGACAGATGGGTTACTTTAGCAATCTCCTCCTAAAAACAAAAACAAAATAGCAATTAGATTTGTGCAACGCTGACAAGCTTTCAAAGGTCCACTTTCATGAATTGTTTTAAGTCCTCACTTTATTCTTTTCTTCAATAATTAAAGATCACATGCATATTCATTGGCAAATGTGGTTTGGGTAGTTAGTAAATTTACCCGGTTTCCCAAATGACACCAAATTTAAATCTATTTAGAAAAGAATCTGGGAATAGAACTTTCCCATATCCACAGGATGAACTGTGCTAGATTAGTCTACTAGAAGTATCTCTAGTAAACCAAGTAAAATGACTTTATGACAAATTTTTAAATAAGATTATTGTATTTCAAGAAAAATTGTTGTGTGCATATGATCTTTAATTTATATCCCAGATTTTAAAGTTCTTGTTTTGGTTTGTAGATTTCACTATTAGCTATAAAAAGAAAAAGCAAGCATTAAATCTTAAAGAATGAACACTTAAAATGAGGCTCCACAATTGAAATACAACACTAAACAGAAGACCAAAATGAGTAAGCTGTAAAAAGGCATTTATGTACTTTAACTCCTGTAAAAAACCATTTAAGTTAAGTTTAGACACTTAATCTCCAAAAAGATTAAAAAAGAAGCCAAAGTCTGAAGTTTTCCACTTTAATCTTTACGCTGGTACATGAAGTTGGAAGAGACCATACCACAGGACAGCGTTTTCTGGTGTATGCCTTGCGCTCTGCCCGCAACGTGCGACCCCCAGAGATAGACGTGGTCAGGGTGACACACGGCCTGCAATGAAGTTCCCGCTGGCGGGTACAAACAAGGTATAATGTCAGAGTTAGAAGACAACATTCGTGTTTTCCTTAAGTTTGTACCCATTTCAGTACTTTACCTGTTAATAGTTCTAAAAATGTTTAATTATTCCTCTAGATCACCTGGTACACAAAGCAAACAGAAAAACTTTTAAGTTTTTCTGTAATACTAAAGAAAGTGAAGTGAAACTTTAAAGTTAAAGATCTATAGACACTTTAGGCAAAACAGGCTCATAAAGCAATTAAAATTTAACAACTTAGTAAAAAAAGGCTATACAATGTTTTACTTGTTTTTATTTTGTCTATTGATCTTTAAATTAAATTAGACATTTCCACTGGTGTCTCATACTCTTATACACACCTGTTTTCTCCAATGTCCTCCTTTAGTATGGCTGATAATTATTTTGGTGATTGCCTCCCCCTCGAGACGCCTTGCCGTAAGTGCTCTGTTGGCCTATTTTGTAAGACAAAAAATTATATCAGGATAGTTTTTATGTAATGATTATATAAGTATACTTAAAGATTAAATGTATAAAACTACATGGCAAGTATGAAATAAGATTGTAACAGCCATTATAAACTAGTCATATATCACATATTCTTGAACATTTATAATCAGAATTTTATGTTAGTAAAATCACCCTATGACTATCAATTGCTTTGAAAACATAACTCCAAACATCTCAATAAAGGGGAAACCCACAATTTTAGAATGGGATAATAACACTGAATTTTAATACCACTGGTTATAAAATTAAGTTAAATATTCTTACCACTGTAGTCTGCATATCCCTGTCCATATCCATAGTTCCCATAGTTATACCCAGTATAATCATAGCCGCCATAGCCACTATAGTTTTGATCACCACCATAGGCACTATTGTAATTTCCATATCCTTGATCATAATAGTTATTAAATCCTTGGTTCCAGTTTTGGCCCTGACCTGAAACAATGCACAATGATTGTTAGGAAACAACTTTTGGACCATCCCCCACACCCCCCAATCCTAACATAAAATAATGCATTCTGTCTCTTACTCTGCAAATCTTAAGCAGAATGGATATCTATACTGCTGACTGAAAATTACAAAAAGGGGGAAGGGGGCAAGTCCACTTGTGCTAGCATCATGCTTCCTAAACTGAATGGAAAATCAGGACAAAGGTGAAGAGAGGTAGACCCATCTACTTTAAAGCAAGAACTCCTAGGCCCTGGCCAGGTAGCTCAGTTGGTTAGAGCAATCATCCCAACACGCCAAGGTTGCAGGTTGCGAGTTTCAACCCGCCAGGGCACATACAAGAACCAAACAATGGATGAATAAATACATGAATGTGTGGAACAAACAGGTCAATGTTTCTATCTTGTTCAATTTAAAAAAATTTAAAGCAAGAACTCCTGCCCAAGCAGACATATCACACCATGGTATAACAGTGTAATTTCCACTACATTTAATAGTATCATTTTTCCATCAGTGATGACACTGTCTCACAGTGGCCATTCTTTGAAAAGGTGAAACCAGTAAATAATACAACCAAAAACCCACCCACTCAACTGAGCAATTTCCTGAAACAATTTATATCTGGCTTTACTTTCTCATGCTTTAGTTTTTCACATTTAGCAGTTTATAGCTTAAAACATTATCAACTCATTTCTCAAGAATTCTCACCTCGGCCTCGACCCCTAGTACCACCTCTTCCACCAGCTGCAGCACCTCTTCCTCCCTTTTGTTGTTGCTGTTGTTGCCTATATACCTCTTTGGGTTGGGCAACTTTGATTTCACACTATAGACAAATTTTAAAAAGCAAACAAGATTGAGAAACCACTTCACTAATAAAAAGAAACTCAAAATCCTCACTTAATATAATTAAAATGGCTTTACCTTCCCAGAACCAATTTGATGATATCTGCTTTCTAACAATTTCTTTACTGGCTCCTCATCTGTATATGTGATAAAACAAAAACCTCTTCTTTCATTTGTTTTTGTATCCATGGGAAGTTCAATATTTTCAATCTGAAATCAAGAAGCACACTCAAGATCATGCAGTAATGGCAAAAAGCTACCAAAAGGTCTTAGAATACCACAGTTCCGTTGCAAACTTCAACATAACATGGTATTCTAATCAGATGACTTCTGTCTAAAGACTACTACTACTTAATATCAACATCAAACTATGTGATTTATCTGTTAAGTAAACATTTAGAAGGGAGAGCAAAGCTTCCTTTATTTAAGAGCCTCTCATACCCTACAGGTGCCCCTAGTTAACAAGTCCAAATACTGACCACACCAAAGCATCCGTGTTTCCTTCAAAATAAATTAGAAATTGGTTTGCATTACAGCACAGAAAACAGTGATTAAAGTATGGTGACTGGAAGGACCCCAAGCAGTAATTTAATCCCACCCTCACCTGACATATGAATTTATTCTGTAAGAAGGTCAGAGATAATTATATAAACACACATAAACAATCACACAACGAACCTCTCCAAAGGCTCCAAAATATTCTTTAATTTGTTCTTCAGAAGTATCTGGGCTCAATCCACCCACAAAAACCTTTTTGGGGGGCTCCTTCCCTTTTAAAGCTTTGGCCCTTTTGGGATCTATCAATTTGCCATCCAGTTTGTGTTCCTTCAGTTCCAAAACCTAGAAGACATATTTATTTAATCTGACAGCAATATACAACCAATCCCCGAACCATTTGCAAAAGGCACACAAAAGTATCATCATGCAAAACACATTCCTACCTTATCAACACTAGCAGCATCTTTGAAAAGCACAAATCCAAATCCTCTTGATCGTCCAGTGACTGGATCTGTTTTAATGGTGCAGTCTACAACTTCCCCAAATCGAGACAAGTACTCAGTCAGATCTTTCTTGCTTGTGTCCCAGCTCAAGCCTCCAATAAACATTTTACTAAAAATAAAAGCGTTGTTTTTTTTTTAAAGGTTACCAGCGGCCGAAACGATCACTCCAATTCTGGGGTTATGTTTTTAAGGGTGAAGCGAGTACGGGACGTTTAATGCCAAGTGCAAGTAATTTAATCCATGTTTTCAGATACTCATTATCAATAGACCGCAAAGATTCCAAAGTCCCATGGAGGTCGCTTCCTCACAACACCTTACAGCTTGCTCTCCCGCACCGCATAACGCGAAGTTTAAACGAGGACGAGGCCAACAAAACGTTAAGCATTGTTCCACTTGAGAACATCCAACTTCCTAACCTAACCCCTCACAACGGAGGTCCGCCGTCTCCCTCAGCTACCAGGCCAACGTTCTACCTGCAGAACCCCGCACGATGATTTCCGGGGCTCTGCGCACCGGCGCTCGCCGGCCCCCACACCCAGAGTTCTCTAAACTCCCCCGGGAACGCCGCGCGGGGCCCCAACAGACACAATGAAGAGGCGGCGGCAGCTGCAGCATGTGGCGCAGCGAGGCGGCCCCTCCCCCACGGCCCACGCGGCGCCTGCGCACTCGGGGCCCGGACGCCGCCGCCCTCCGCCTCCAACCCCTGCGCCCTTCCCCCACCGCCGCGGGCCTCTCGAGTCCTCCCCTCCCGTCTCCTACTTTCCTCTTCTCTCCAAGCTAGCGGGGCCCCGCGGGCACGCGGGGAATCGACTCCGGGCAAGAATGTGGGCAGCGCGGGGCTCTCGAGGAACCAAGGGCGCGCGCGGGGGGGTGGGGGGGAAGAAGAGGAGCAGCGTGCGGTACCCGTCATCCTGCTGATTCTTGCTCGCGTTGATCTTGGATCCCTCTGCGAACTCCTCCGTATTGCTGTACTCGTTCACGTCCTCCATGGCGGCGGCGTTGTCAGCCGGCGGGTGCTGGCGCGCAGCTCGAGTCGCGGCCGCGGCGGCGGAGCGTTGTATGGAGCCGGATTTAAAATGGCGGCGGAAGAGGTCCGGGCGCCGCCTGCGCCCTCCCTTTATAGCCGCCCCGCCCGCCAATCGGGAGGGCTGCTGGGCGGTGACGTGGCGCGGGCCCCGGCGCGCCCCCTGCCGGGCGGTGCCGGCAGCGAGCGAAGGGAGCAGCGGCGCCAGCTGCCGCGGCGGCCGCGGCCGCCAATGGGAGAGGCTGCGGGAGGCTAAAGTAGCGGGCGCGGAGGGGAACAATGGCGGCGGCACATGGGAGAGCCGGGGCGGGACCTCCATCGCGGCCCTCCGGTGAGGAGCGGGGTCGCGGGCTCGGGATGAGAGAAGCGTCGGAAGAGAAAAACGAAGGGGCGAGAAGTCCTGGGTTCACCAATCCCGAGCAGCGCCGTCGCAGGTCCGAGTCCCTCTTGCGTGGAGAGCCTTTGTCTCTGGCGTCCGGTCCAGCCCACTCCTAGCCACAGCCGACCACCCTGCCTTCCTCCACCCTCGGTCTCCCCGTGCGGAACTGCGGCGGGGGCGGCGGCGACCGATGAGCTCCGCAGCCGGCCCGCTCCAGAAAAGGCGTCCTGCGCCCGGCACCGGCGGATGAGGCGGCGAGCGCGCCTGCCGTCGCCGCGCGCAAGCGTGCTGGGTCCCCGCGCCGGCTGGAACCCGCGGACAGGAAGCGGCGCGGCGGCCCCTGCGGGCAGCGGCACCTCTTCCGCTCCTGCTACCGGCGCGGGCCGAGAGGGGGCGGCGGGCCTCTCGAGCCGGTCGGCCGGAACCACCGCAGTCACACCCACCGGGACGCCGCGCGGCCTCTTTAGCTGACCGAGGACGGGAGGAAGGGCGCAGGCCCGGTTAGATGACAGTAAATATACAAACGCGGCGGCGGCGGGCGGGGACGGGGAGGGGGACTAGATGTCGTAGAGGGCAGGGCGCACTCACGTCCCCGGCGCGCCACTCGCGGGGTTCCCGTCGGCACGTGCCCCGGCCTCTCCGGCTCGCCTAACCTGTGCTGGGAGCGCGCGCCCGCGCACTCGGCTCCCGCGCTCGCTTTGTTCCCGCCCCCGCGAGCCCCGACTTGACGGATAGGTCCGTGGCCCTCTGGCGGCCAGTCGGCATCGCTGCCTTTGCTTGCCCCGCCCCCTCAGAGCCCCGCCGGCCCGCCTCTTTCCCGACCCACGTGGTCTCCTCCTCCGGCCCCGGGCAGCTCCCTAGTTCAGGTCCCTTACTCGGTTGCCTTCTCCACTCTCAGTGGCGTGGAGGTGGCCTCTTCCCCTCGTGCTTCACGCCGCACGTGGCTGACCGCTCCGAGGTTCCCGCGGAGCTTTCGGAAGCCCAGGACGGTGCTGGGGGTGCAGTCGGCGCCGCCCTCCCGTCCAGTAGGCCGATTTCCGTGATAGCATCCGGTAGGGAAATGGTCGTGCTTTCGGTGCCAGCCGAAGTCACTGTGATCCTGTTAGATATCGAAGGTACCACCACCCCGATTGCTTTCGTGAAGGTGAGGGGCTAAAGGGACCCGGGAAGTGTTTGTGCTTTAAAACAATTTTAAAGTGTTGTAGACCTTGCACTAGAGACAGGAGAGGTGGGAGAGGCGGTGTGGCTTTGCACCCACTGTGGGATGGGAGTAGAAAGGCTGTCCCGGGTTGCAGGGTTGCTTGTTCTCATAGCACCATGTCACCCTACCCCGTCCCTGCCCTTGGCTAGATGCAGGTGGGTGGGAAGGGATGGAGGTGGCGGCGGAAAAGGGCGGAGGAGGGAATGGTCCGATCCGCCGCTGCTGAGCGAGGCGAAGTGTGCTCCGCCTGCGGGGCAGGTGAGCGCTTGCCTTTTGCTTGATTCCACCTGGTGTGGCGGATTAGTATGATATTGCAGGTATCCCTGATTTTCATGTGCTTTGTCCTATAACCTATTAATTGCTTTTATTAATGTTAAATATTAATCGGATACGATATTAACTTGTTATACATTAATTTATCAAAATCAATGTTTCTAAAGTATTTTCAACCAAAAGTATGTCCAGAAGAACATTAGGTCTGTCTGTTTATACTAACTATCCAAAAAAGGATTCCATTATTTAAATGCATTTTTGGGAAATGTTCTGTGCATGTTGAACCAGCTTTATTTAAATACTATTATAGAGCCTTTATATCATACACATCTACACACATATATGCTTTGTGAGTCTTCAAGAGAGCATTTCATAAATTTAGCAAAATAGTTCTGTCTTTTGAACACCTTTTACATTCTTCTTGAACCTCTGAACATGGAGCTTGGAATTGGGGATTAGTCATAGTAGGTGTGTGAACTTGCACTATTTTCTGTGGAATATGAAAGGATACAGTACTGTATACATGTGACTTGTACACTTGACTCATCCTCAGAAGTCTGTGAGGTGTTTGCAGCTGTTCCCATTTTACTGATGGGAAACTAAGGCTCTGAAAAACTGAACAAAATGCCTGGCATTTGAACCTGTATTGTCTGGCTCAAAACTCTTTTTCCACTATTGCTCTTGATTTCTGAAATGGGAACTGCAGTTCTTGTTCTGTCTTTGCTTGGCTGCTGTGTATGTTAAATGACACTGTTATATGACAGCACTTTAAACAGTATGAAGTACCATAAAAGCATATTGTAACAAATTTCACTAACATTATTATAATGAGTCTTATTTTACTTGGAGGTTAGGTTCTACTCTCGGTGTATACTGTGAAAGTTGACTATTGTCAAAAATTGTCCTTGAAATATCCTTAGGAAGCCAGTCCTCTTTGGAGGCTGATTTCCGTCTTTCAGTAAGTCACATGCAGCCACTTTTCCTTTAGGGTTGAAATAATCCCTGCTTCTTCCCTTGAGCACCAGAGAAAGTAGTTTGTTTATGATCAGGTGATGTAAGAGATTGGAGAAATGAGAGTGTCCCAGGGAATAGAACACCCTCATTTAGTGGAATGGCAGACAGATTGACAGCACTGGTTATGGTTATGTTTCTCTCTCTCTCTCTCTCTCTCTCTCTCTCTCTCTCTCTCTTCCTCTTTGTCTCTTTCTCTTTGCTGAGCAATTACACTTGATTAGTTTAACTATATAAGATAACACTAACAGCCAAAACCGGTTTGGCTCAGTGGATAGAGTGTCGGCTTGCGGACTGAAGGGTCCCAGGTTAGATTCCGGTCAAGGGCATGTACCTGGGTTGCCGGCACGTCCCCAGTGGGAGATGTGCAGGAGGCAGCTGATCGATGTTTCTCTCTCATCGACGTTTCTAACTCTCTATCTCTCTCCCTTCCTCTCTGTAAAAAATCAATAAAATATATTAAAAAAAAAAGATAATACTAACAGTCTAGCTAAGAACTCTTAAAGAATTCCATAGAGCCCTAGTCATTTTGGCTCAGTGGACAGAGCATCAGCCTATGGACTGAAGGGTCCCAGGTTCAACTGAAGGGTCCCAGGTTAGATTCCGGTCAAGGGCATGTACCTGGGTTGCCGGCACGTCCCCAGTGGGAGATGTGCAGGAGGCAGCTGATCGATGTTTCTCTCTCATCGACGTTTCTAACTCTCTATCTCTCTCCCTTCCTCTCTGTAAAAAATCAATAAAATATATTAAAAAAAAAGATAATACTAACAGTCTAGCTAAGAACTCTTAAAGAATTCCATAGAGCCCTAGTCATTTTGGCTCAGTGGACAGAGCATCAGCCTATGGACTGAAGGGTCCCAGGTTCAACTGAAGGGTCCCAGGTTAGATTCCGGTCAAGGGCATGTACCTGGGTTGCCGGCACGTCCCCAGTGGGAGATGTGCAGGAGGCAGCTGATCGATGTTTCTCTCTCATCGACGTTTCTAACTCTCTATCTCTCTCCCTTCCTCTCTGTAAAAAATCAATAAAATATATTAAAAAAAAAAGATAATACTAACAGTCTAGCTAAGAACTCTTAAAGAATTCCATAGAGCCCTAGTCATTTTGGCTCAGTGGACAGAGCATCAGCCTATGGACTGAAGGGTCCCAGGTTCAACTGAAGGGTCCCAGGTTCGATTCCGGTCAAGGGCACATGCCCGGGTTGCGGGCTCGATCCCCAGTAGGGGATGTACAGGAGGCAGCGATCAATGATTCTCTCTCATCATTTGATATTTCTCTCTCTCCCTCTTCCTTCCTCTCTAAAATCAACAAAAATACATTTTTAAAAAATCTTAAAAAAAAAAAAAAAGTATTCCATTGAATCCTCCCAGTCTGGGAAGTGGTATTCTGGGGACAGTCCGTTGCTGTATCAGTGCATGCCTCAGCCTTCAGACCCCAGGCAACAGCACACAATGGTTTTACTTACTAGCTATTATGTCTTTTTCACTGAATCATAGAATTGTCAAATTGCTAGAGCAGGAAGGCCAGCTAGCTCAGATTGTCCGGTGAGTGTTAAAACCAGCTAATTTCTTCCATGAATTAATTGATGCCTGTAGGAATGGCCTGTGTGAGGATCATCACAACTTGGGGCAGAGCAGCAGTAGAACCCAGATTACCATAGATGTTCTCAGTGCATCTGAGTCCTCAAAGCCACCAGCTTTTCCCTTCACTGCAGGACATGTGCTCCTGGAATTTGTTTTGAGTTACTCACTCTGATCCTCTATAGGGGTGATCTCTCAACTTCTTTTGATCTTGTACATCAGCAGAAATGGAACAGGCACTACCAGTCAAATTTATAAATTGTGTATACATATTTTACTATTACTAAGTTATAAAATAAATTGGAATTTAAAGATGAAATTAATAAGTATAGATAAATGTTATACAGTGGGGCCTTGACTTACGAGTTTAATTCGTTCCGTGACGGAGCTCGTAACTCAGATTACTCGTATGTCAAATCAAAAAGTGAACGAGAGACACGTGATGCTGGGCTGATGTTATGGCGTTCACTGTGACGTCCGCTGCGCCAACTAGCAGTGGGGTATCTGAAGCTGGCTTGTAACCCGAATTTTAGCTCGCAAGTCAAAGCAAAAAATCGGCCAAGAGATGGCTCGTATCTCAAAAAACTCGTTAGTCGGGACACTCGTAAGTCAAGGCCCCACTGTATTCTCTTTCCTTACCCCATTGATTCATTTGCATGCCCCTGGGGTATATGCACCCCTTGGAGCCATCTCTTGATCTTTGTGGTGAGGTAATACTCATTTTCTAACTTTGTGCATTGCATTATTCTAATGTTTTTAGTCTGTTTGCTATGAAATAACACTCATCAGTCCCTGTGGTTATCCTGTCAGAAATCTACAACTACTGTTTGACTTTGGGGGTAAATGATCTGTTGTTCCAGAAAATCGTCTATAATTTGGTGGCATTCCTGTTGCTACATGTTGAGTTGGTACATGTAATAACAGTTGAAGTAGTTATGTTCTGTGAAGTCACTGAGAACACTATGTTAGCAAATACTGAATTGTTGTCTGTAGAAAAAATACAAGGTTAGGTTCCTGTGAGTCTCTGGTCACATTTCCATCAACTGATCAATA